AACTCATTTCCCAGATGGAGAAACTGAGATGCAGTTATGAAGTGGATGGCCTGAGGTCACACCGTACCTCCTAACTGGTAGAGTGAATGGACTCCAGGTAAGCCTGGGTCCTGAGCTTCAATCATTGCTCCTGTTCCTGCAGTTCTTCTTTGCAACTGCCTACTCTGCTCTAGCCTGAGCCTGGGAATCTGGGGACATCCCACTGCAGCAGACATGCCCCCAGACCCTTATTGGCATCAGTGTGCCCATGATCAGGGATGGCTTAAGTAGTCCTCTCACTAGGCTAACTTCATTTACAAAATAGCCTTTTAAACTTAAGCAGGGACTCCAACCTGTCATCTCCTAAGGCAATGGTATAGATGCATGAGCCATTTTCAATATTTCAAGAAGTCCCTTTAAACATATTCAGTTACTCTGACACAGCTGCAAAAACCTACTACTATCAGTGTTTCAGTGATTTGGGTTGGAATTACATCAACTCTGGGAATACTGGTTATTTCTACCTACTTAGAAATGCTAATGGACAATACCTTATGCTCCAGTAAATTGAAACGGGAAATTAAATAGGACCTTTTTCATAGTAAAAATCTTGAACTTCAAAACTTGAACTTCATAGGAGAAAATAACAAAAATTGCCCTGAGAGATGAAATGTGTGGGGCTTAGCTAAAGGATTCAGCACAAATCATGAAGCATCAGGCCCAAGACGACACACCTGAGGGTCTAGGGAAAAGAATGCTGTGTAAGAGACGTCTGGGTGCCTGCCTCACCTATGCACAGGAACACAGTCCTGCCCAGAGTCCTGTGGAGTGAGCGTGGCCACGGCTACCATCATGCATTGCTAGACCCTTGCCAGAGGCATCCACAGGACTCATGCATCTGTAAGATCTTGGGCAACTTAAACCTGTGTAGCTGGACCAAAACAGATAGGTTGATCCTATTTCTGTTGGAAACCTGGAGATGAGAAACTGAAAGACAGAGGCAGTTTCCAGTGGAAGCAGAAGTTAGGAGGCTATGGGAAAGTTGCTCCATTACAGGAGCCTGGGGTAGGTGCAGTGGGCTGCAGAGCAGGCTGAATTTATGTGGGAATGAGAATGCGTGGAGGACCTGAAATTAAGTCTACAGAGAGGAGAAAGGAGCAGATGCAAAGAGGAGGGAACACAACATGGAGTAAGGCTATGGGGGACCTAAGGACTAGTTCTGGTTTCACTGAGACTCGGATGGACCACCCAGTTCCTGTCTTTGGGCTCATGACATTCCCAGTGTGTCCTTACAACAAATCCCACTTTACTTGAGCTAGCTTAAGTGGGTCTCTCTTCTTAGCATACAAAGAGGCTTGATTAAATTAGACCATCCAAGTCTGGGTGGGGGAACCCCATTAAAAATCACATCATACAGCCATGATTTCTGGAAGAGAAAAGTCATGGTACAGAGACCTGAAACCTACATAAACGTAAAAAGAATGTATTTCAGGCTGCAAGCCATAGAGATTGCACAGGGAGAAACCAACATTGGATTTCCTGGAAAATACCGCATGGGGTTGGAGAGAAAGCCCCCCAGGGGTATGGCCCTACACACCCTCCAACCCCAGAGATGCCAAGCCAAGGGTGAATAAACATCTTCCTTTGGGCCAGATTCTTTTGCAGGATGTCACTAAGTATCTGTTTCCCTCTACTCTGCATGGCCATAGGGACCCCATTGTTTACTTCTCCCTGCAGCCATCTCCTGGTCCCTGGTGCATGCTTCCCCACATTTTGGCTGTGATCTTGCCCAGGTGGCTTGCATATGACTTCCAATAGCACCAGGGAGAAATGACAGCATGTGAGCCCTAAGTTCAGGCTTCAGGAGCCCTGCTGATTGTACTCTCTGCCCTGCCAGAAGAGGAACATGCTCTTGCCAGCTGGCTGATTCCAACAGGATGAAAAACATGTGCAGGCACCTAAACCTAAGCCCAACCTTGGCCTGGAGCCAAAACAGAGGAGCCCACATGCCACTGCTGAGCAGCACCAGCCCCACTGCACACACAGGAGAAATAAACCTCATGTTGTCTGCTGCTTGTTACACAGCACTTTTGTACTAAATGGTACAGTTACTTGAAAAAAAAATTAGATTAGATGTTTCTGAATGGAAGATTCAAGGAAGGGGTGTCCTAGTTTGGGCAATAGCAGCCCAATGAGCCTAAGGGTTACTGCCCATGGTGATAGCAATAGAACCCCTAAAGGACTATTATCTTTGGGGTGGAGGAGGTGGCTCAAGGTCAAGTTGCTCATCTCTATGAGGGAACTCTCCTCCTAACTAACCTTGTAGAATTTAGTTTTATTTTATTAAGTAAAAGTTGTAAGCTTCCTCCAGGCCTTCGACACCCTTAGGCTGGTTCTGGCAGATTCTTAGCTGTCCATCAAACTTCACTGGCTCCTTTCACAGTGCAGCAATCAGGGCTAGTATATCACTGACCGTCAACTGCAACCACAACCCCTCTTGCAACTACCTGTGGCCATGTGGCTGACTTTTACCCAAAGGAACATGAGCAAAAGAGATCAGAGCTATGTTGGAACTGGTATAGCAAGACAGTGGGCATGCCATCTTCCCTGTCCTGCCAGCTGCCACCCAGGCCATGCAGACAGGGACAGTGCTATAGGACAGAGGGAATCTGTTGGACTTGTGGTCCAACAGATCAGTTACTTGTTATCCATTCATAATGAGTTGAGGGCTTGTTCCAGACCACGAATCAACAGGCCATTGTTTAATTCAGGTGACAGTTTTTTCCCAGCGCATGACATTCTGGATGAAGAGCATCCGTTTGCATTCTGACACACTCTTCTCAGCTCCTTGTGGGCTAATCCTCTGGGGAGCACTGCTCTGGGGAATGGGAGAGGCACAGGATGGAACAGTTACTTGAAAAAAATTAGATTAGATGTTCCTGAATGGAAGATTCAAGAAAGGGGTGAATATCCATGAGGAATAGACCTGCCCGCCAACCTGGAATACCTGCCCTGGATTAAAAAAAAAAAAGGAAACCAACTTCTCTTTCAGGTGGGTCCCTGCAGTGAGATCTCTTTCTCATAGCAGTTAAGTTTCCCCTAACCAAGTCAGTGGGATTGATCATCTCTACCTGACACACCTTGGTGAGAACTTTTAAAGGCATTCATTAAGAGAGGGCATCCAAACAGGATCTGTTTGGGCTCATCAGGGGTTCTCTGCAATTCGGGTTCCAGCACCTTCAGCAAAGCTGAATCAAATGTACAATGGTTCTGTTCTCTGAAAACAAATCATTATCTTTTCTTTTTTTCCTATCAATTTCTTGATTGAACTAAATGGGAAGGACATTTTTTTTTCCTACAAGTTAATGTGGAGAGAAAAGAATTTAGTGTTCCTTCGAAGACTTGGAGTTGGAGAAGGCATCAGGCCTAAGCATATCTTAGATAAGTTGTTCATTCATCAAATACTTGTTGAACACCACTGTGATCCAGGCACTCTGTGTGGGTACAGAGAAGCAAGCCCAAGTCCCCGTGTTGAAGCAAACTCACCCAGTGGGAGGGAGCAAGCTATGGATGATCACCTGTCAGTGAACATCTGTTCACAGAGGATTTGGGGGGGGGGGCTCACTGCAGAGGCTGGTAACCCAAGAGAGATGGAATCAAAGCCAACTGTAGACTCTTTCCTTTTGATTTTCACTTGGATCACTCCCCAGAATAATATTATTGTATTTCTTTGGCTACTAATAATGATCATAAAATCAGCCTTTTTCCTCTTACAGGCAGACACATGCACAGAAAAAAAAACATGTTTTAATGTTCAGTCATGCAATATGTTGTGTGTGCTCACCTAAGAAAGGCAATATGCATTGAATCACCAGATACTCAGACCAAAGTGTACATTTTCAGCTTCAATCTTGTCAACACCATGTGGATAAGAAACATTAAAGACTCACCAGGGAGGCAAGTCACCAGCCCTTGGTGAGGAAGGACTAGCCCTCAACTATGACAAGCACAACCACACGAGCAGCTCTGGCGGCCAAATCGTGGGCAACAGCATCCTACCAGCTTCTATTTATTGTCCCATTGCTATGGGGCGAGCCCCTTTCACATTCATGGCATTTAACTGTTCAGGAATAGGGCGGGTGAACGGTCTTTAGACCAGAGAACAGAAAGACCAGAGGGAAGCTGAGCACCTCTAGAGACCTGTTCCTGCGGCAGTAGCAGCTGAGGGACAGTTGGAGCTCTCTGGCCGGCGCAGCCTAGGGAAATCAGCAGAAGGGCAGTTTCCTTCTCTATTATATGGAAGAAGTGTGCTTATGGAAGGGGCCCTGTGTTTAGTCCAACTAGCATTCTCGCTGTTCTCAAAGCGGGTCTTCCGTTCAGTCCTCCACCTCGCGGTGTGAGTGGGCAGGTGCGCCCGGGAAAGCCGCGGTGGAGGGAGTGCTGGGGGCGGGGCGGGGCAGAGCGGAGATCTGCGGGAGGGAGGCCAGCCCGGAGGTCTAAGGCTGGGATGCGGGGAGGATGTCCCTGGAAGGGAAAGGTTTGGAACATCAGGAGTACTCTGCAATCACGGTTCCAACACTTTCAGCAAAGCCCAGTCACAAAACGTCCATCCTCCGTGCTCTCCCCTTTCTACCTCTGAGATCAGGCTGCCGGTCGCTGCTCTCTACCCCTTGCTGGATGCGAGCTCAGTAAAAGCGGGAGACCAGTGAGGCCAGAGGGGGCAGATCACGAAATTGTGTTGGCGTCGAGGATGGGCGGACCTAATCCGGAGTGGGGAAGGCGGGCGCGACTAGGAGGGGAAGGGAGAGGGGGCACTGTACGCCCAGCCTCTTTATCACTCGAAGGGAGATGGATGGTTTTCCGGGCCAGGAGTCCGGGCGCCCCGGCTCGCGATAGGGAGACGTCAGAGCGCTCTGGTCGGTGGTGGAAGAACCCCCCAGCCCCCCCCGCCCGGCTTCCATATAAAGTCGGGGCCCTAGTGGAGGCTGCAGCAGTGGCGCGGGCGGCAGCGGCGGGAGCTCCTTGGAGGTCCAGTCCTCCTTCGCTGCTCCGCCGGGGGCAGCGCACTCTCCGCCCGGCCTCGCGGCTGCGATACCAGGGCTTCCCGCCGGCATCATGGGCGGCCTCGAGCTCCCATTCGTCCTGTTGGCGCTGGTCCTCTGCCAGGCGCCCCTGGGGCCAGCAGCCCCGGTGCCGGTGGGCGAAGGGACCGTGCTGGCCAAGATGTATCCGCGCGGCAATCACTGGGCGGTGGGTGAGTGTCCTGGCCGCAAGAGCCGCGCGCTTTTGTCCCCGGAGGGATCAGCCAGCCCAAGGGGACCTGTCTCCGCATCTCAGCGTTTTCGCGGCCGGGCTGTGGGGCTTGGGCTTGCTCCGACCCTTCTACTAAAACACCGACCCGGATCTCCCAAACTCCACCCCACCTTTCCCCGTCCCGGGAAGACTGGGTCTCTAACTAACCGGAGACTGGTCCCTGAATCCTTTCCCGCTCGCTCTCTGTGGGTGCGCACCCGCTTCCTCCTCAGGGCGCAGAAGCCAGCGCGCAGCTCTCCAAAAATCCCAACCCTACGCTTCAGCTCATCTTCCCTCCGCACAAATCCGACACTTCCTTTTTTTTTTTCCCACCTTATCTCAACCCGCTCTGGCATGGGTCTCTCCTGGAACAACTTTGGGGAGCGAGATCTCGCGATCGTGTCTCTGAGCCTAGGTCTAGCCAGGTCCAGGCTACGACTCTTTCGAGCTTGGGCTGGAGCCCCTGCTGCGAGGTTGCGCCTCGCAAAGCCACAGGTGTGGGGTCCAGGGACGCTGCGCTCCCGCCCCGGGTTCCAAATCTGTTCAGCTAACAGTGCCGGAATGTATACTGTTTGTGGCTCTCCTGAGTTGTCTGGGTCCTGCTCTTTCCTTTACAGATCCTATCCCCCACCCCGCCTTTTGCCCACCCTCTTTCTTTCCAGCCGGCGGGCTCCGCGCTACAGGAATCGCGCGTGCTCTTAGCATTCACCCTAGCCTCTCTGTTCCTGGAGCCCCGCTCTTTCTCAGTCTCGGTCTATCTAAACGCACGACTTCGCCCTCTACCTTAGCGTCTTTCCCATCACCTCTGCCAACCTCCTGCTCTCCGACACCGGCGTGGTGATTCCCATGTCTCGATTCCCTGAAGCAAGGCGGAAGAGACTGCCTGATGGCGGGCGGAGCCGGGCGGGAGGGCGCCTGCCAGGTCAGGGGTCTGCCGAGGGCACACCCAGGACAAGTGGTAGTGTGCAGCCGCCGCCAGCTTCGCGATCACCCATCACCCGCGGGCCTTTGGGCTTCTCTAAGCATAGCCTCTTGCAATTGCAAGGGGTTCAACATCCCCAGATGTACCCCACCGCAGCTCACTGCACCAACCTCAACCTGGGAGCGGGCCCATCTCTAAAGAGATGGTGTGTGTGAGACAGAGACAGAGACACAGAGTCAACCACTTAGGACCAAACAGTGTGTTGAAAAAGTACTTATTAATTCAAATATCAACCTCCTGCCATGAAGAGGAGGAATTTGGGGGAAGGGGTGAGGCTGGAACTGGTTTCCTGGGCCTCTGTGTTGCCTTTGGTTTTGTCAGAGGAGAGAGAGCCCGGGATTGCCCAGGGCAATTTTTGTCGTTGCTATTATCATCCTCCCCCCAGGGTTGAAAGGATTTGTGCTCTCCCAGGACCTGGAGGAGCCCAGGAGAAGTTGGCCTGGGTGAGGCTGAGAAGCCCTGCACTTCCAGAATGAAGGACACTAACAAGGGGTCAAAGAACCCAAACTTAGAATTAGTAATTCTTAACAAGGATCTCTGGGAGCTTAAGTCCAGTGGCCATTGTCTGGTATAGCCACCATTCAGGAGGAGGAAAGGTGGAGTAGCCTTCGGATTTCCAACCTTTTTTCCTCAACAGTATTTTTATACCAACGGGACTTTCTATGAGGTAATAAGCCTTGCAGGCCCAAAGTAGAAGAACAGAGTTAACTGGGGAGCATGGTCATTATTTCTGGTGCAAGCCAGGCCCAACCTGTTTTGCTGTAGTTCTGCAACATGACTGTCCCCAGGTACTTAGGGTGTCTGCATTTATTCACCCTTCCTAGTGGTAACCCCAAAGTACACAGACCAGCAGCAACCACAAATGCCACTTTGAAAATTATTATTAAATGTACCCTTTTCTCTTTCCCCTGTTTGTACAGGGTGTGAGGAAGAGCAAGGGAAGAAGGAAGTCAAGAATAATATAAATTTCAGCCTAAAATTACATTGTATATTTTAAAAGTTTGTTGTATGTACACATACCAATGTTGGAATAAGAAGTGTTGGCAGGGACAAAGGATGTCAAGTTTCAAGTTTAGCTTTCAATTATCCCAAACCAATGCCAATCCTCTCCAATCACAAAGACACACAGTTTAGTTTTAATTAGTGCAAAACTAAAGACACATATTGCTGTCTACAAGGAAGCTGTCAGCTTCATTGCAGGCCTGTTAACTGATTTGCTCCTTCCACCTGACAGAAGCAGAGTGTAGCAACGGAAAAGGAGATGACAGCTAGAAAATGTAGCATGCTCCTCTGTGGCTGGATGTCCATGGGAATGTTTGTGCAATGAAAATGTGTGTCAACACACACTATTCTCAATGCTTCCATGCAATGTTCTTAGTGTTGGCTCTTTGATGTGATGCTTGTCCCAGAAGGTGGAATTGGAAAGCACCACTATGAAGCTGCAAAGTGGCTTGACACTGCAGTGCTGACTCAGAAACTGGGGGATTTAAAGTGTGGCTCTAGGACTGGGGGGTATAGCTCATGGTAGAGCACTTGCTTAGCATGCACAAGAGCCAGGATTCAATCCCAGCCCCACAAAAGCAAAACACAAAAACTCCATAAAAACTAGTTCTTAGAAGTACTCAGTACTTTAATCTACATGTTGATGTATATATTTTCTTAAGTTAGGATAATTTTCAAATTTTGACTTCAAGGAAATTCAGACCTGTCCATTAGTGGTTTCTTTAAATGATTCAAAAGAACAGAAGCTCTTTTCTCTCTGTCTTTCTGACCAAGGTTTTGTTTTGCAAATGCCTATTTTTTGTCTATGCTGAGATTTCCATTATTTTGATATGGACATGTGACAGATGATGATGGGAGGAGAGGTAGAAGTGGGCATATCCTCCATGTTGCCATGGAGACAATGATTTGGTTGACAGTAGCCAGCACAAAAGTGAAATAGGACCCAGGAAATGAGTGCTTCCCTGGGATGTTATAGATGGTGTGCTTTCCTTAATAACCAGCTTGTAGATCTAGTGATGGGGAGCTGAACATCACACACCCACCACACATGAAATTCAGTCCAGCGTCACAGGATCTGTGTTAAATTGATCACAGAATGGGTGATGACTTTATCCTCCCATTATAGAAAGTCTACAAAATTATTTGGCCATGACAAAATAAAGTTCTTGTTTGTAAAAATAATATCTCCATCACCCCTCTGTTTCAGAGCCAATAACTCCTTCCTCATTTCCAGCATCCTGACTAGATGATAGGCAATTAGGGAGGGCAAGAGGGACTGAGGTCATTACTGGGAGCATCAGGGTTCCAATCCTGCCTTCCAATCATCATGATTCAATTTCCTCTGTATAAATGAAGCTGATGCATCAGAACTTCCTGGGAAGTTGTTCAACATAATCACTGTTATGGCCAAGTGCAAGGTTATTTAGTGGATATCCAGGCACCAAGTTGGCCACGCATATAAGTGAAGAGCCAAGCCTTCAGGATCCCAGGGCTTCAGCTTGGAAACTGGTCTCAGTAGGGTCTTAAAATCATGTGAAGTCTCCTTGTTGTAAGTGACTTCGCAAGGACTTACACTGAAAATCTCATTCGAAGTCTCCCTCATATTGAATTAATTCTTCTCATTTACACAATGAGCCATTATATACTAATATACAGTATCTGTGCCTTTTTATAACATTGGAAGGCTTTTTTTCAGATCTTACTCTTTTTTCCAGACCCTGAATGATGTGTTGCTACCTTGTAGTTTTAGGAAGTTAAAAGGCACTTTGAAACAATATAATGGAATTTGGACTCTGAGCTGACTTTAATCCTAGGGGCCTTTGCTAATATCTGTGTGACCTCAGGTAAGCCTCATTTTCACCAAACCTATTACAGTAAAACCTACTGTGGTTTGAATCAAATGAAATAATCCACATTTAAACATTCTGGAAACTGTCAGTTGCAGTACATATGACAGTGATGAAGTTATAATGAGGCTTCTTTGTTGGTGGACAGTGCTCTGGGAAGGGGCCTCTTTTAAGTGACTGAAGGTCTTTCAAATATTGTTCCCATGATATTTGTCTTGAATATAATGCCAGTCTATGTTGTGACCATAAGGACTTTATCCAGTATATACTTTAAATCTAAAAAAAAACTTTTATTGGTGTTGGAAATTTCAAAGAGGTAAAGGACTAATTTCAGAGAGATGGGGTGAGAGAAAGCAGAAGAAGACAACACATGTGTGTAGCTGAAGCAATGGGTTAAAGTATTAAGACCGCAGACCCTGAATTCCCTGCCTGTTTCTCATCCTGTGTTAACTTCGATTGCAAACGCGAATTTCCCTGTCTTTAGCACTTTGGCCTCCTTAATGATGGCTTTATTTGTACAGCAGGTGCGTGTCCCTGAGGCCACTGAGAGACACTCACTGACCATTTCAGACCCAAGAGAAAACCCTGCATTTATGTGGTTGCCAAGTGTTAGTCAGAACTTGTTTCCAGCTTGTTTTTCATCACGCTCTTAACTAATAATGTCCAGGTGAAGTTTCCTAGATTCAATCTCAGCTAAAATTCTGAGAAAGTTTAAGTGAAAAATTCCTTTGGTACATTTGTATTAAAGATAAGAGGAAAGCAACACTTTTCTTTTCTTCTTCTTCTTTTAATCACACAAAGAAACATACCAAGGCCTTTATTTTCAGAAGCAATTCAGAATTGGCTGAGGAAGATGTTTAAAGCCCATTCTTCTGTTGGGAATGGAATTTGGTGCACACAGAATTGATGATAGAATTTGAGATTTAGAGGGTTCCTTAAGTTTAATCTAGCTCACCCTATTAATTTTATAGCTGAGAAAATTGAAGGCCAAGATATTAAACTACTTGGCTGAGGTCACCTGGCTAGTTCATAGAAATGATGGAACAAAAAACCAGATGTTATAGCTTGGATGTGACTTGTCATCCCCAAAGCCCCTGTGTTCATGCAGGAATGTTCAGAGGTGGAATGATTGAATTATGAGAGCTGGAACCTCTCAGTAGTAACTGCAGACAGATGGGGTGTGCCTGGAGGAGGTGGGTCACTGGGGTGTGCCCAGAGCAGTGTCCCTCTGCCTTGTCCTTCTGCCATGATACTCTAGAGCACTAGAGCCGAGAATTTGACAGACTGTGGACTAACCTCTGAAATCATGAGCCAAAATACACCTTCACTCTTCTAAGTTGTTCTTGTAGGGTATTTTGGTCACAGCGATGAAAACTGACTCCCGCGCCAGGACTCCTGGGTTACAGTTCTGAATTCTGTCCACCTTGTTGCACATTTTTAACACAGAGCAAAATCTGTCAGAGTAAATAAAATGCTATTTACGCTGCATATAGAAGGAAACGGCACACACGTAACTGTTTTTTTTTTAATCTTTCTTATCTACTCATTCCCATTGGTTAAATGTGTGGCATTCTGATCTGGTTTTGTTTGTGCAGGGCACTTAATGGGGAAAAAGAGCACGGGAGAGTTCCCCTACGTGTCCCAGGGAGATGGCCTGAAGCAGCAGCTGAGGAAACACACTCTATGGGAAGAGGCTGCAAGGAATTTGCTGGACCTTATACAGGATAAGGGGGACCGAAGCCATCAGCCACCTCAACTCCAGCCCCTGGGCAATCGCCAACCCACTTGGGATTCAGAGGAGCGCAGCAACTTGAAAGATGTAGGTGAGGCCAACATACTTGAGAAGTGGGGTGAAAGGTATTTGAGAAGAGTTGGAAAGAGAGGAAGCACAAAAGTGCTTATGATGTAAGTCTTAATAGCCACTCTGCGAGGCCAACACCAACATATGCTTACCAAAACAGCAGACAATTTCCATGCTGTCTTTTATTTTTGCCAGAATAGATTATTTTTCCTATGGTCCCATCAAAATGTTGTTGTTTCAAAACTTCCCTTTAGGAGTCCTATTAGCAATTGTGTTTATTTGAAGTTTCTCATTGATGGCCCTACCAAAATATTTTGATAATGAGGCCATGGACTCTATTCGAGTAAATCCCTGTGGGTCTGCAGATGTGTTTATTTTTGATAAGTACCATGGAAGAAAGAGCCTCTTCCTAGATGTTTTTCAGAAGGGGGCGTTTTTTGTTTGCATTCCTGTTTATATGCAAAGTAGTATTTCTTCTATTGGTTCCCAGATCATCGAGTTCAGGTTTTATCCTCATATTTCAAAACTTGATGAACATATCTGAAATCAACTGATTTGTCCTGCGTAGGATGTTATAGAGGATGGGGGAAATAATGATACCAAACGGTCAATGTTTAGATGCAAAGACAGTAAATAAAACAGAGAATAAATTTTATGGGACAAAAGCAAGACAACTGAAAATGAGATGATGATTGCTTTTATGAAATTTCCACAAAATATACAAGAAAAGGTAAAAATATTTGCAATTACAGGAATGGCTAGTTTATTGAATGTTCTCCATAGTTCAAATACTGGGCTATACAGTTTACCTCCAGTTTTTCAACTTAATGCTCACAGCAGTGTTAGGGGGAAGATTCTTTTACTCTCTCATATTGGTGGGGGCTGGGGTGTAATAGGAATTGAACCCAGGGCCTCACACATGCTAAGTACATGTTTTGCCACTGAGCTATATAGCCCCAGGCTTTCTGTTTTGGAGATGAGGAAACAGACCTAATCACACAGCTTTTCACTGGTGAACTTGGGACAAGAGCCTGTCCTGTGCTTGGTCAGCCCCAGACAGTGTGTGTCGTGCAGGCCATGTTCCGGGTAACGGTCCTTATTGATCTTAGATACACAGGATACAGGATGCAGCGGCAGGCCTTGCTCCTCTCTGTTTCTGGCAATAAATAATATTGCTTTTCACTTATGGAGCTTGGAGACCTCCCAGCTTCTCTCGTTCATGGTGGTTAGCTCTTTGATTGATGGCCCCCTTGCAGAGGCTCTGGCTGGCTTTGCCAAGCCTTAGTCAGCCTCTCTGGAGGGAGACTTTCTATTCCACTGCTCTTCCCTCTACTGGGGATTTTTCATGCTAAATGCAAACTAAAAGCTCATCTGTTGCAGGAAGCACCTGGAGAGAAAGTCTTTATAGTAGCTTTTGCTCAGAAAGAAAATCTGGGTTAAATCAACCAAGTCAGAGATAAGTGCCAACTTTGTACAAAGCCCTGAGTGAGTCTCTTGACAGATCTGTGTGATAGATGTTAGGTGATCAGCCCTCCTCTTTGCTGAAGGATCACATGCTGAGTGCTCTGGGAACTTGTGATTGGCTTCCGAGCCCTACCTAGCCATGCCCCACTTCTTGGTCAAGTGCTTTGCCTTCTCATTTGTTTGAAGAATTAAAAACAAAAAAAAAAAAAAAAAAACACCACCACAAAACCCTCAGAATCGATTTCTACAGACACTGAAATGGACTTACTTTTGCAGTGCATTGGAAAAATACTACTCCCCAACACACCCACCATGTAATCAATCTATCTATAGTGCCTCACTTGTTGAACCAAACAACAGTTCTAGTTCAAGTTGCTTATTTTCTGAACTTGGCTCACATCTTTAAATCTTTTGAAAAAATTCAAATCCTTCAAGGATCAAAACTCTTATATTCAGAAAAATTTCGGAAGCTTCCAAGACAATTGTGAAAGAAAATCTCCAAAAAGGTCTCTGAGTGGTAGTATTATAGGATTCATGGAGTGGGCAATAGTGGGGAGTAACTGCTTAAAAAGGGACTTCTAGCCTGGTGGGTGTGTGCCCTGATTATAGGGCACATACCTATAATCCCAGCAGCTCCAGAGGCTGAGGCAGGAGGATCATGAGTTCAAAGCCAGCCTCAGAAACTTAGTGAGGCCCTAAGCAACTTGTCGAGACCCTGTCTCAAAATAAATAATAAAAAGGGGTGGGATGTGGCTTAGTGGTTAAGGGACCTTGGGTTCAATCCCTGGTGCCAAAGAGAGAGAGAGAGAGAGAGAGAGAGAGAGAGAGAGAGAGAGAGAGACTTCCCCCATCGTGAGCTAAAAAAGGTAATTTTTTCTTAATCTGGCCTTGCTCTCTGTTTTTATGCGTTGCTTTTATTTTTACAGGTTTAGAAAACCCATCCCATTTGATCCCACCTCAGGTTGAAAAATAGCAACTGCAGACCAGTCGCATAGCCTTTCCCTGGTGAAACCAGGGCAAGAGCCTGTGTGCCAAGCTTTGGGCATATTTTCCAGAAATATGAAAAACAAAACAGAGACCAAGACAGTGTATCACTCCCCTTGCTTTGGAGATTCTGCCTCAATGAAAGTGTGTTGTTATGAAAACTGAAAACGTCTTATAATTATCTTATTCAAAAAGAAGGGGTGCCAAGAGAATAATTCTATTAGAAATCCATATATCTCGCGGTGCTGGAGAGAAGCTTAATAACTTAGCCAGAATTAGCAGCAGGAGCTTCAGAAGCTGAAGGACTTTGCTTAAAATTAAAAACTACCCACACATGCTCTCTTCTCCCACCGTAGTAATGAAGCACCGAGTCCTGCTGCCAACTCTCCCGGAGCTGGAGGTAGACATCCAGAGCATTTCCTATGATCTGATGACAAAGACATTTACTTAATTCAGGAAGATGTGTGGGAATCTGCACTGGCTCTGGATTAGGGCAAATGGGCACCATTTCCAAGCATAACTTTAAACTTTCGCCTGCACTTTCCCCACGAATCTTCTCATCCTATCCTGAAATCAGTGGAAATTTTACCCCATGATTTCTAATAAAGCCAGACAGCGTCGGGGTCGGCTCCAGGGTGTGGCTGTAGATGGTGCTGACTTCCGGTGCCAGTATTAGTTAGCCTTGGGGGTCTCTGTGATTGGGTCCCAGGCCACTGTTTTCCGTAGCCTTGGGTTTTTCTTTTTAGTGGACATGAAGAAGGGGTAGAGGGAGGGACTCCAGAAGCCGTTCTGGAAAGGAAGTAGAGGTGCAAGTTTGTCCTCACTTATAAGGGACCCCTCTCACTGTCCCATCAAATCAGTATGAACAGGATGAAACTTTTCTTAATCTTTGCAATGCTCCGAAGGAAGCTCGGCACACAGAACAGGCAGCATACAATCAGGAATAACTGACAGTCCTGGCTGTTTCTATGGAGGAAGAATGAAGGCAGCCCCCATCTCCAACACAGCTCCTCCTAACCCAGCCGCCTCTGTCCCGGGGTACCCTGACGGTGCCAAGCCACACAGCTCTTCTTCCTTTCCCCGCCTTGAGCCAGTCCTCCCAGTTCAATATTTTGAGCCAATGGGGGACATCTGTGTCTCTTCCCCAATGTCTCTGACTCCTCCCATGGACAGCAGCTCGCATGGCAAGATGGATGGTCTCATCTCCAGCAGCCTGGCAGCTCTCGGGCCCTTAGCGCCTGGGCTCTGGGAGGAAGGAAAAGCTAATTGGCCTGTGTGGGAATTGAACCCAGCCCTGGGCTCATTAGTACCTGCTTTCCAGTGGAGCCACAGGGCAGGTAACCGTTTGCCTCAGAATAGCAGTAGTGTCTTTATTAGGAACAAATGGCCCGTCTGGAAGCTGGGGAATCTGAATTGCCGGGGAGCCTTGGGAAGAGGAAGGAGCTCTAGTTTCTCATCTCATTGGGTAAACACTGCTATGGGACCAGAGAAGTGTTTTTAAATTCTAACTTCTCTTTCTTCAGTCTTAGTTAAGTTGAGCAGAAGCAGCAGCAAGCAAACCACACTACATTTAGAGTGCTGGCAGAGACCCGGACTGAGCTCCCCTTCCCGAGGTGCCCCACGACTACCAGTTACAGTCTAGGTTTGGGAGCGTTCGATGGTGCAATTTGGAAACTGGCTTTGATTGGTGTTACCAGGCTCTGCCAAAGTCAGCCAAGAAAGAACGAAAGTGCCTGTCCCCACCCCCCACGCCACCAGCTGCTACCCTAGGAGTCAAGTCCTGGGGATTACACTTTTCACTTCCAACACTGGTTGCAACATGCCTGAGAAATCACAGTAGGGACAAGGTAGGCAAATGCAACAACAGACCCCTCCCCAAATACAGCAATTCAAAAAGCGGAGGTCAGTTTCTCTCTTGGGGGTGTCTGTGGTGCTCAAACACTGCGTGGTCAGAATCATCCCTAGGGCTCACACGGGCAGGTCGAGGCCTCTCCCCAGAGTTTCCGAGCCGGGAAGGCCGGGCTGACCCAAAAATTCATCTGGTTTTCTACCGAGCTCCCCAGTGAGGCCAGTGGTTTCTTGCAGGAGGATTCGTCTTCAGGGTTGATAGTATGTCCGCTTCACTCTCTCTGCAGTTTTTCCAGTTGGCAGACTCTCTGCTCCAACCTCTCCAGGGGAAGGAAGGGATGCCCAGCTGAGGGACAATGACGATGGCCTCAGAGGAGCCAAACAAAATCCCTGAGAGACTGCCTTCCGCAAGTGTCACCTCGGCTGGATCGGCACCATCTCCTTTGTGCAGAACATCTAACCGTCCTCGTATCTCTCAACCTTGGCTGAGTCCGCGATTTCCCAGCAGCATCTTCTGGTCTGAACTTGTTTGCTGTAAGATTGTCCCAAATGAGTCTTCCAATGAAGCTTTTGCCATCTTGGCTCTTGGTTGATTAGGTCCAGGGCCCCGATCTGTCATCGTTCACAATAAAAGCTTAAACACCTTGTCTGAGAGGCAGGTTGCTCTCTTATTTCAAGTCCAAGTGGGAGGAGAGGGGGCAATGATGAACGGGACAGCTAGCGCGATTGCGTGCTTCTGGGTTTGCTGGCTAAGTCAGGCCGAATGGTCAGCTCTGCCTCTGAAGGCCACTTACCGAGGCCTTGGAGTGACGAATGGCCTTTCCAGGATCTCACCAGTCTCTCTATCATTGTCAGCCGCTGGGCTAGGTTGGAGATGGAGGCTGGCTGGCCCTCCTTGTCTCTTAGGAAGCCCCTTATAGTCAGTCCTTATCACTACCCATCAGGTAAGTTGCTGATGTCATCGATACATTCCCCATCCCACTCCTATAAGCTGAGACTGATCACCCTCATTTAATAGATGAGCCAACAGAGGACTAGAGAGGGCAGGTGACTTTCTCCAGGCCACACAGCAGGTGGAACTGGGATCCAAATGTCCATAGTCACAGATTTTCCCCAGCACCACATTTTAAACCTCCCGTTCATCATGTTTACCAAGTATCACTGGTTTTGTTTTTGTTTTGGGGTTTGTTGTTGTTTTTTTTTCCCTCAAAACTTCTTTGCCAATCTTAGAGAAGTCATCCCCCACGCCAGATTTGGTCAGCAAAAGGCTAAGATGAACTGGAGAGCTTGCCTTCCCTTTGCCTAGAAGGTGGCCCCGCAGGCCACTGATGCCCCTGGGCTGCATTTTATCAGGGTGTTTGCACATCAACAGGTTGAGAAGCTTCCTGACAGAGGTTTACTTTCTTCATTTAGGAAAATCACATTTGAAACCTTAGAGAGATTTATCTTGTTCTGGTTTTGATTGTTGAAGAACCACAAAGAGGTGACGTGTTCTTTCTCATTTCTTCTAAACTATGTCGATTCGAAACTTCCCCAAAGTGAGGCCTGGGGAACTGGGAAGACGAATCTCCTCTTCCAGGCCCCTGTTCTCTACCTCGGGGTCCTCCTGGGCCTCTCTTCCCAAGAACTTGATCCTGGGTTTTGTCAACTGAAGCCCACGCAGCTGCTGATGGAGGGTAAGCCCTCGGGAGGGTCCACCCTCCGGCAGCACACACCCAAAGATGAAAACATCTTCCAGAACCAGGCTAAGCTTTCTGTAACCGTGGCCTTGCAGGTAGGGAGGACAAGGCTCCCAGACAGGTGGAAACCCCATCTAGACTGTCACTGCTTGCATCATCTCCAGAGAGCAGACGCCCGTGGGACGTTTTCTCTGTGACATCAGGCTGGGAGCTCAGAATAGCTCCCTAGAGCTTCTGACCCTTGAGGACTCCCCTGTGCCCAGCCCAGGTCAGCACTAGAATCCCTTCATTTGAGAGAGGCTCTTCCTGACCAGGAGAACTGTCTTGAACTTGTTTGTAAGTGGAGTGACATCACTTATCTGTGAGGTCTGGTGGGTCCTGGCACCCATCTGGGGTAGCTGGAGTAAATGTGAATGGACATGAGATGGGAAAGGCCAGGAATCTGGGCTCAGGCCTTGAGCCTACACTTTGGTCAGTTGATGCGATGGTGATGCCAGAAGCACTCTGCAGAGCTGCCCCGGGGCGGGGACAGTCCTTCCTCCTGCCTCTGCCACCAGGTGCCCCAGCCCTGAAAACCTCTCCCTGGGGGTCACTCCCAAATCAGTCCAGAAGGAGTGTGGTCTGATTGGTGGGATCTAGATCACATGCCCATGGCTAGCTGCAAGGGCAGCTGGGAAATGTAGTTTTCAGGATTTTAGCTTGGGAATGTGGGACCCTATCAAAGCTGAGAGATGGTCACAAAAGAGGTGGTGAACACAGGTGACAGCTGTCCCCTCCTCCGCTGGAACAAAAAGAATTTCCCCTTTGATTTCTGCCCATTCTGCCTTAGAGAACAGTTGGCACTGCCTGGGAAAGCAGGAGCCCAGTGACTGGTCTCCACAGCAGGTCGGCCGGTGTGTACCCAGCAAGGAGAGGGACGGCATCTAAGAGGTGACGATGTTTAGAAATCCTGCAGCAAAGCAGGATAAGCAAGAGGAAGAATCCAAAAGGAAGAAAGCAATAATAGACTTCAAATTTGGTCTTTTAAAAACAGTCTCTCTTTTTTTTAAGTGCTGTGGGGTGGATTGCTGTGGGTGATTGAGCAATCTTTGTTGATGATCAGAGGTTCACTCACACACTAATGGGCATTTCAAACAGCACAGTACAATTTCCAGCCTCAGAATGCCCACCTTTCCATTCCTACTGGGGGTGTTTGATCATCACAGAGCATTTTAACCAAGCTCGGATACATGGGGAGTCATCTAGGCAGAATATGAGGATTGCACTATTCACTTCCTCAGCCACGGGCGGCTGTAATCAGAACACCTCAAGAACTCTTTGAGGGAGATCCACCACCATGAACCGTGGCCCCTCCCCCAGCAAAAGAGAGATGTTCGCATGGGCACCAAAAAGTCTCCTAGCTCCACGTCTCAGGTTTTGTGTCTTCCAATTAACCATCTTAAATGAGACCCAGATAAAAACTAGAAACCTCTCTCCATTTTCCTTGTCTTCCCACCTTCTCTGTGTGGCCCACATAAATTATACAACATAGCCAGGTGGACAGAGGCAGATCATTATCGTATGATAAAGAGAGCTGGCAAGACAGGCCAGAGCAGTGATCCAAAGATTCAGAGCCAAGGTCTCTGTGATGTTCTTAAGATTGCCTTCACAAAATGGCTGCTGAAGCTCCAATCAACACACCCTGGCTTCCTTCAGGAAAAATAACAGAAAACAGAAAAGAGAGGGGCCCATATGGTGAAAATAAAGCTTTCTCAGAAATCCTCAACCTTTGTGTTTTTATCATAATATGTGACATGGCCTCTTCTAGTAGCAAAGGAAGTGAGAAATGTCATATTTCAGCTGAGGACAGTGCTACTTTATCATTCTATCCACCTTCCCACCCCCCAACACCCCAAGAAACAAATCCCCAAACATCAAAACTTCCTTCTCTTAATAAGTAAAAGAAGAGGAAGGCGTTGGGTAGGCAGCTAGCAATGTTTGCCATGTGAGCTATTGTGAGATTAAATCCTGGGAAAGAACCAGGCTGGACACAGTGGGTCTTAAGCCACAGTGACCAGGAGGCTCCAGGACAGTATTACTCAGAAGCTGCCGGGTCTCAGGCCTCCTGAATCCCGAGGACCAGGAGGACCTCATGGCCACAGACACCAGGACACTTTCTCCACGGCCTTGCCTTGCCTCTATTTCTGGAAAATAGTGACGGCAACCAGGTCTTGTAGGCTGGGCGTCACCTTAATTTGTAAAATAAACCCCGAGACCTGATGCGTCCCAGTACCTGTTTACATGGGCCAAACCTCCTCCTGCTCTCACGCCTCTGCACGTGTAGGGACCACGCGTGTCTGATGCACATGTCTGGGGGGCAGTTTGCACTCCTCATTCACAGCACCCCCCCAGGAGCAGGGGCCTGTAGATAAACGGCACCCCGAGAGCAGGATGGACTTCAGCCCAGGGGACCCCCACACGGCTCTTCTTTTCCTTGAGCTCAGACTCTACACTAATTGCCAGATGATGAGTGAATGTTTCCACATGACTCTTCATTCCGTAGTCCTTCAGGAATGAACGTCAGAGTGGTTAGGATTCCCGTGGCTGTTGATAACAGCAAGCTCTCAATTCAAATTGGCATACAAGATAGATGGAGTATCTCATAAAAAAGAACTCCAGCGGGGACGGGGGTGCTCGGGTTTGTTTAGTTCAGTTTAATTCTGTGACTTAAATATATCTCCAGGGGCATGCAGGTCTTTCTCTTTTCCCACTCAGCCAGCAGCAGTTCAGATTTGTCTTTAAGTGGACTTTTCTCACGGTCACAAGATGGCTGCTGGAGTACCAGATATCACATCCAGACATGACAACATTCAGAGGAAGAAAGGGACATCTCTTTTTAGGCTTCACACCATAGTGACCAAATCAGTTACACATTTTCCCTAAACCTGTCACTAAAATGGGACCAGACCACTATGATTAGCCTCACCCAATGAGGATTTTTCCTGAACAGTCCTATGGGAAGAGGGCAAGCATCTACAAAACTAAGGCTCTCAGTAAGGAAGGAGGGTGGCATTGATCTGGGTCGGACCCTTGACAGCATCAGCCGTTTGCATGAACTTCATTTCTGATGACCTCTCACAACCCTGTTTCTATCACTATCAGCAACTTTAAAAAATCAGTCACTGCAATTCAGTGCAAATAGTCTAGGTTTTATTTCACTCTCAGAGGCTCCCAGGAAATCCTTTTGGATAGTGTTTAAGACCTCAGGACTTTCAGAGCAAGCAGCAGCCGTTTCCCTGGCCCCAGGTGCTGATAGCGCAGCCAGGGTGGACAGGCACGGCTCTCTGCCTGGCTGTGTCTGCCCTGCTCCTCTCTTTCCCTGCAAGACGAGTGTCAACTTAATTGCTGCCTGAAGGCACCGCAGACATCTACAGACATGAAAAGGAAACACAGCTTCCGATTGGGCTTGCCTCCCCCTGGCAGGGTCCCAAGATGCCTCCGTATCGACAGCCCGAGTGGACAGGCTGGAGTTGAACTCAAATTAAAACCAAAACCAAAAAGCAAGTCAGATTGCAGAAGGAACGGCTTTCTTCTCACTAACGCCTGGGGACCGAGGGGAGTGGAAGGTGGATAACGTGAAACTGATTTCGCTCAGGAGTCAGAAACTGGCAGCCCCCTGCTCGGATCTGCTCCTAGATATGCTGGTGGCCTGAACAGTGTCTTAAAAATTAGAATTAGCAAGAGACATTTTGAAATCAAGAGAAGTCATATAAAAATCCACCTTTTGCAAAAGAAGACCTGCCATTGGGTCTTCTTTTCTAGGAGACTCCGTGACTTAAATACATCTTCAGCATCCACAGGGCGGGTACCCACCTTGCCACAGACCCCACCCTGCCCTAGTGCTGCCCCTGCTGATGTTCACATTGCCCACCTGCCCACTCTGGACACTTGAATTTGTGATCCCAGTTGAACCCCTGTATGTGAAGGGC